AAAGAAACCACATTGTCACAAGTTTATTCCTATTTGGTTGTGCTACAAATAATCACTCTGGCATCATTTGCAGCACTATGGATCTAATTTTCAAGTCAGAAAGACTTCAATTTAGCAGTGTAAGACTACAGAATATGCAGTCGTTCTGCAGAATTGCAGCTTTGAACTCCTACCTGAAGATACAGCAGAATTGCTAATATTCAATGTCATTTGATAAAAGTGCATGGCAACTGAAGGCTCATCTGTAATTATAAAGCTTGTCTTGTCAGGGAGAAGAAAAACATTTGATTCACACATTATGAGAAATAAAAATACGGTTTTTATCACGAACAAAATTATAGGCACATGACGAAGTTGTAAGGTATCCAGTTCCCAAATGGGCCCAATGCCAGGGCCCTTTTATGGCTGAGATAAGGGAAATATAAAGTTCCTAAAAATGAAAACCTTTTTGGGCCATTTGGCCAATTTCGAACACAGGGGTTTTTTCCTCTTTCCATGGGTTAAGAACAAAGGAAGATCCATAATTTTTGACAGAGGATGCCTCGCAGCCAATCAGAAGGAGGGGAAAGCCCCTTTTCGGAGAAAAAAATCCTTTTTAGGCAAAAATGAATATATTAAACTGACCTGAAAGGGTGGGATTTTGTGGAACTATAAAATGCACGAAATTTAAACCCAAAGGGTCTTTTCTCCCGGGAGCTCGGTGTGAGATAAGACCCAGTGTGCTGAATAAATCCTTCCTTGTTGCTACAGTTCCTTTGTTTCACGAGTTTTTGCCATCTTTCTAAATTCGGAGGAGCAATTTTTTTCCCACATCATCACTATCCTCTTACAAAAGTTATTCCCCATTCATCCATGAATGTAAGGGGAAATTTGCATCAGCTGACAGTGCCCAATTCATAAGCCATAAAGTACCTCCTATCTCTCTAAAAGAGCATCCTTGTCACAGGTTTTGGTTTTTAAAGAAAAAAAAACCTGCTTTGAATTTTTTCCCTTTACCACTCTGAAAGAAAGGTGTTGAGCAATGGAAGGGGGAAGGGGGCTAGCTGACTGGATTCCCCTGGCCTGAAGGGATGGCCAGCAGGAGCCACACACAAAAGGACTATCTGATAGTCCCACATTCCAAACTAATGGCTTCGGGAGACTGTAACGGGAGGGAGGTACGTTTTTTTTTCTGGTAGCAGGACTGCGCTTTACTTTTTCCCTGACTCAGGGAGTGGTGTGGAGAGGGGGTCTCCGGGTTCGTTCTTTGGCCGGGTCACTGGCTTCTCCTGGCACCGAGGGAGGTCCCGGTTCGCCTCCGATTCCCCACAGCCATCTCTGCCCACTACCTGGACTTGTCTCGGACCCATCGGAAAGCGGGTTCCATCTGCGGTGGAACCTTTGAGGGGAAAGGTTGCCCTTCCCCTCCCTCCTTTCTCGTGTCGGTGGCAGTTTCCACCCATTGACGAGGAAAGGGATCCCAGCCAGAGCCAGTTTTCGACAGCGTGAGTCCACGGGAGGAACCAGCCATCCCCCTTCTCCCCTCCCCTGCCGGTGGTGGCCGCATCCCCAGGAGGTGTCTTGGACTCACCTGGATTCCTCCCGCTCACCGGGCAAAAAAAGTACTTAATTGTTTCGGTGCAAGTTTGGTTACGAAATTGTTGCTTGGTTTGTTTGATTTTTCTCCTATCCCGCCCTCCTTAGCAAACACTTCTGTCTCGTTAAACTGAGACAATCCTTCAGGCCCTGCTGTATTTACTTGTTAAAACGGGCTCTTAGCTGCATAGTGTTTCAGTTAAACTTCCAATATCAGTGTGTGGCTCTGTAATAAGGGAATAACTACCTACTAATTGCTACTCCTCTCTCCATCTAGAGCGAAGATTTCAGGTCAGTCATATGATGGAAGATTGTGGACAGCAGAACACCATGGACCTATTCCAAACAGATAAAATTCTCTGGATTATAGTTAGTAATTTCCCTTCTACAGGATGGAAGATTATCTCCTAAAAAATTTTTATAACCATCCAGGATGTCAACATATCCAAGCATACAAGTTTCGTGTGCTACAGGACCAACTGCCACAACCATTCTGGCAATGCTCGTTTATCAAGGCACTAGAAAAATATTCTCCATGTCTCCATACCCATACCCCTAGGACTCCTAATTTAAAATACTTACCAGCGTGAGACTTTTTGGACTCTTTTTCAAACGTGAATTTTTTTGGCAAAGCGTGTTTGGTGCATCTCTAGGTAACTGATTATTTAGGTTAAGAGTCCTTTATGTTAGAACAGGGTTATCAGCATGAGACAGCAAAATAGCAGCACTCCACAGGAATAAGAGATAACAAAGACTAAGATCAAAGTTTGGACCATTCAGGGCAGACAATTCTCAGCTTGTAACTCTAGATATAATTCATTACCAGAAAAACTGAAATGAGTGAAATCATTTCCTCTCTGAAATACCTTATGCCAGTGTCCAGGGTTTTGAGACATCTGTAAAGATGCAGCACAGATAACACCCAACTGTTCATAAAAACCTTCCTCCACTAGAGCACACTGCCACCATCAGCACAGCAGGAAAAGTGTTTCTGACAAATTGGCAAGAAAAGTGTTCCTGGCAAAATACAGAAGAATGGAGAGTTAAACCAAGAGAATACTGACAGACCACCAACTCAAAAGAAACAGATGCTACATTTCTTGCAATTCACATAAAGAGGAAGGAAAGAGTAACCAGTGAAAAGGAACCAAGAGAAGGTTTTACAGTATCCTCACAGTTTTTGCAATTGGTAAAGATTCTTACTCTGACATTTCAGAGTAAGATAGTACGTACATTTTGATAGTATGAACATTTTGGAGTTTCTGACCTTCTTCAAGCCATTTACAGAGTGTGGTTGAACCAACAGCTCTAACCAAGACCTAGATGCAGTCCTACACTATTGTCCTTCAGAATTTTCCTAACTGCTCAGGAGATGTGATCCACTGGCCCCACTCAAACTAATGTTTCATTCAGTCCTTTCAAAGGAAACTTCCACTTCTGCTCCCAAACCATCTCCAGAACAGCTTAAAGCCTGAACAACAGCAGTTCAACAGATCTGAATGTACCAAGAGAATGAACAGGTTGAAAACTTCGTGTTACATTACTCCTAGAAGACAAGCAAGGTTCATAGGAGATGAGGGCCAGTAAAAACAGCTCAACTAAACTTCATCGCCCCTTAGAACAAATCTCTTATCACCTCTACCTGTTACAAAAACACAGTTAATATTTATTCCTTTGTTTATTTGATATTAATTAGAAAAATGAAAGACCCGTTGGGTTCAAGAACTCTCACACTTCTGTGCCTCCTGCATTTCTTTTTGAGATGTGCTGGTTCATTTGCTAATGCTAAAGGTTGATAAGGGTTCCTAAGTGATGGATCAAGATGGTTTTCCCTTTGATAGAAAGATACCTCCATTGGAGCATCATTATTCCCTAGAGACGTTTGTGGTTGTGGGGCCATTTTCATCAGTATAAAAATCAAAGTTGCAAGGATTGCATTTGGGATACTAAACCCATCCTGTTATGTCTTGACTAATTTCAACCAGTAATAGTAGAGTAAAACAGTATAACAGAATAATAAAAATATGAGTGCATGTGTGCTGTGAAATGAAGCTGAGAAATAGCTCAGAAAGGACTCACTCAGAATTTCGTTTGACTTTCAAGATGGATATAAATTATTGACTCAAAGATGTGTATTTTTTGTACATCACATTTTAACAGCAGAGTTTAAAGATCTCATATGAAACAGTGTGCAATGTGACATAGGCTCCAGAGTGCAAGAGACAGAATGACAAACTGAAAAAGCAGCAACTTTTCAAATGCTGTATTGAGAGCAGAGCTCTTTGTTCCAGTTTGACACAAATAAGAAATAAAAATAAAATTGCGGCAATTTTATTATATCTACCAAAAGAATGCAACATCTTTCTGTCAATGAAACTCTGTTCCAGGAGGCAAAGACCCATCAGAGCTTTTCCTCTCTGCAAAACATACCACCAGAAATAGCTCTCTTTTCTTTTACTTGTTCATGAACTGTGGTTGATTATCAAAACATTTCAACTTCTCATTTTCAAGCTTCTAAAAAATCACAATACTTTGGTAAAATCACTGTCAGGTTCTGCTTTTTCCAGGATGCAGGATTACATCTATCTTACTTTGCTACTGAACTCTTCAGTGCTTTTATTGCATTTCAAAGCAGCGAGTCTTTACGCATAGCTATACCTCAAGCCTGTCTTGATTATTTATAATACTTATTTAGCTCCATTGTTGGATCAGTCAAGACTGGATTAAGGCATAACATTCTCAGCTGAAGGTCATGAACATGAAATTCAGGCAGAGCACAGCACACAGTCCCTGGGACAAAGCCCTTGAAATTGTTGTCTGCAAGTATTTTTGACAGCTTTATCCTTAATGGTTTTATGGGAGCTGTTCACTTTTCCCTTGATTTCATTTCAAAAGCTGTCTTTTTAATAGGGGTTTTCCAGCCCTCTGGAATCCTTTAAAAAGGCTTTGTTCTGACACTTTGCTTTAGTAATAATACTCTTTGGTAATAATACTAACTATCTTGCCAGGGTTTTTTTTTCTTGCAAGTTAGCTCATTATTGTGAGAGTATCTTAAGCTGGAATTACCGCTACATGTTTATGGTATTGAATGACATGCTGGCACCTATGAACCAAGAACACACCTCACAAACAATATATATTAAACAGGGGTGACAGCAAGAGGGAAGAAGCTGAAGATGGAAAGGCTCTACATTAATATCACATGAACCAGGAGAACAGACTGCACAAACCAATATTAATTCAACGGTGGGGAAAGGAACAGAGGACCAATACATAAAGCCAAAAATTTATGGTATGAAGGTCTAAAGTTTGTCCAATAAAAGTGGGTGTACATACACACACACACACACATACACACACACACATTCCAGGAAAAAACATTTTTATTTTAAACAAATGTAAATGGAAAAAATGCTAGTGTGGATGCATGGCTACTTGATATACATGGTTCCTACAGTGGTGGAGGCACCTCTTTTTAAATCTAGCCTCCTATGGAGATGGAAAGTGGATTTTATTTGAATCATGAACAGAAAGGCTGAGTTTCTTAGCTACAGTATTTTCTTCACCACAGAGAGAAGTAATCTGTCAGTCTCCATTTTCATCTCTCTCACAACATCTTGGCTAAGATTCTCTTTTTCAGCTGGTTGTAGAGAGCTTCCTGACAAATCAGTGCCTTCTGGAAGATAGATATATATATATTTATATATGGAATTTTTATGAAGAGAGAGAAAATGCAAGAGGAAGAAATGTGTTTAATTAAAATGCTTGGAAATGCGACCTGCAATCTCAGTAGATACAAACACCTTCTCTTTCAACCCAATCACTGAGAAAGACCTCAAGTCCCTACTGAAAGTCAGTAAGCACACCTCCTTCTTTCAGATTATATTAAGTTGGAAGCTTACTGAAGAGGAAACACTTTTCTCTTGCTATCTCAAAGAGTTCCTCTCTTGCTTGAGTCAGACCTTGGCCAAGCTTTCCTTGCTTTCAGAGAACTAAATAGTTTCTTCTTTAAATTGCATTCTCTTGGGAAAGTATTCTTGCTCAATTACCAGTATTATTTAGACAAATGCACAGAGTTCTTTTCCCAGCTGTACAGAAAATCTTTTGAAGCCAACTCATCTTTCATATCGCTCAGATGCACAAAGGCATACTAAAACTTTTAGGTTACGTTCCCTGTGCTCTGACTCCAGAAGCACCTACAAACAGCAGTTACCATTAACAAACTAAGTGGCTTTAAGATCAACTGTCAGACAAGGAGCATTTAATCTTAAGTTTACTATTTTTAATATCCATTTATGCACAAACTAAGCCGTGGTTGGTTGAACTGCAATTTGTTAAACTATCATTGCTATTTGTATACACAATAACAGCACGTTATTCTACTCTAACAATATGTATTAGACAAAAAGCTTGTGTTTATATCATTCATTTGATAATACTGAAATGTACCTGTATACATAATAAGTCAGTGTTATAAGCAACAATTTTTCTAATACTTCTTGCAGTCTAAACCTCAGTGTACTGTAGAGCTTCTTAGAGTCTCTCAACAATGAAGAAGAGTGCAATATATAGATGTGAAGTGATTTACATGGTCACAGAGTAAGTAACATAGCCAGGCCTGGAGCTCAATTCAGATGGAGACTAATTAGCAAACCAGAAAGGCACTGGTATTATGAGTCTGGAAAAATTGTTTGATTCCTAGCAAACCAGTTTTGATACATATTTGCTTCCACATTCTTTGCTTTCGGTCTGTGGTTAAGCTTTATAGAAAAAAATGATCAAACTTAATTGTAAAAAGGTAAAAAACCCACTTCCAAAATATTGTGATAGAGGTTTTACTAATGCTTGCATGGCCAAGAACAAATTGTAGCCACACTCAGAAGAGATTTAGAACTTTAGCCACAAAAATACACACCAGCTTGACAAAAACTCAAGCCGTGTTACCTTAAATCCTTCAAGTCTGTGTCAAATGTTCCAGAATACCTGTAGGAACTGCATTCTCTAAAGTTAAAACACCACCATTGTGGAAAACTTCACAGGGATAAAGTACAAAGTACCTATGCTTCAAAAGAGAATCCTAAAATGATCAAATGGCAGCACTTTGGTGCCATTTTCTGAACTTTGAACTAAATGTCATAGGGCTTCAAATCTTCCCAGTCTGTATCACACAACTCCAGAGACTGTTCCTGCATTTACCAACTACATTCATTTGTTTCAGTAGGACCCAGGGAAGTTTTGTCATCACTGAGTTTCCACATAGGGAAAAAACAGCTTCAGCTCTGAACTTTAATCTGCCACCAAGCAGAAAGCTTCAGTGACCCTAGAGCTAAATGCAGTAGAATTAAGGTCACACATTCAGTGACTTTGAAATGTCAACACTCAATATCCATCTTCTTATTTATTTTTTGGATAAATACTTTAAATTTTATTATCTGTGTTTTCAAGTCCAAGCACAGATCAGCAAGTCCAAGTGTTATCTAGGCATCCAAAGTCGCCACTTATTCATAAAGACAGTCAAAAGCAGATAAAGTCAGCTTTTAAAAATTACAATTCCTGTTTTTGTCTGACTTAAAATGAGAAAGACTTGAACTATCTACTTTTGGATGTCTGAAATATTCATATCCCTGACTACAGTCTAGAAGTTCATGTCATCCCCACTCCTCAGCTAGAAAATGTGATTGTACTTTAACCTACTTCATTTGAAGCTGTCCAGTTTAACTCAGTCAGTGTAACTGGAGGTTAGGCTAAAGCAGCTGGCTTTGCCTTGAAAAAGATGAGGAGGGTAATAAAGATCAGCCAGCTCTAATATGACAGGACTAGGAATAACCAGTAAATGGTTTTAAGATGCTCTAGAAGCAATTACATCTTAAACCACCCTGAATGTCTGCAAAGAGGAGTCATTTCCACTCTCAGACATGCAATCAAATTAACAGGGCTTAATATGGCTTAGTTCACACTGACAGTGGACATATGCACAGCCATACTGACTCACTGCTCCACAGCACCATGACTAAGTACACAAGTTCTCCATATTTTTCCAATGGAGTTTAACATATTGACTTCCTGTTTAATTTAGGATAGGAAAACATCTGAGGATGACAGCAATTGCTATGAGCACACCCAAACAAGCTTCAGTTCCAAGTAGGACAAGGTCAGCCCCTACCATTCATGAGGATACAGAAGGCTTGAATACACAGAAGTTGAGGCTACAGAGGAAGCTGTGCAGAAAAGAAAGCATCTCATGCTAGGCAGCGGTAAGAAGTGTTAGAGCAGCACCAAAACAGAAAAGAAATGGGAAGGTGCAAGGACTGCCAGCAAACCACAGGACCTGCCATGAGCTCAGCCAATGGAAAACAACAACAGCACTGTGAAACCTGGAATTTTCAGAGGAATGAAAATTTCAGTATTTTGAAACACTACTTAGCTTGCCCTCTACATTGGAGCAAAGGTTAGAGGTGTTGATACTTCCTCTGTAAATATTTGTTGCTTCTAGGGGAAATTAAACTAAATTAGTTTAAAAATTTCTTTAAAAAAAACCCAGAGACATAATCTTCATCTCTTTGTGATTGGTGCTAAGATCTCTCTTCCCCCAAAGAAATTAATGTCAAACAGTGGTTCTTTCTGCCATGGAGCACAAACTTACAAATCTTGTCAGCCTTAGTCTGAGCTGAGAGCGTAACATTAGAATCATAGAATAGAATCATAGAATCATAGAATCGATTGGGTTGGAAAAGACCTCTGAGATCATCGAGTCCAACCCTTGGTCCAAATCCAGTCCATTTACTATATCATGGCACTCAGTGCCACGTCCAATCTGCGTTTAAAAATCTCCAGGGATGGTGAATCCACCACCTCTCTGGGCAGCCCATTCCAATGCCTGATTACTCTCTCTGTAAAGAATTTTCTCCTGATATCCAACTTCAATTTCCCCTGGCGGAGCTTAAGCCCGTGCCCCCTTGTCCTATTGCTGAGTGCCTGAGAGAAGAGACCAACCCCCACCTGGCTAGAACTTCCCTTCAGGTAGTTATAGACGGTGATGAGGTCACCTCTGAGCCTCCTCTTCTCCAGGCTAAACAACCCCAGCTCCCTCAGCCTCTCCCCATAGGACTTATATATGGTCATGCCACTGCTGGAATACAGCATCCAAAAGCTTCCAGTCTGCTGGGAAAGAAAATGGCCAGCAGTCCTGCCTCCATAACAACACATACCATATGCTGCAACATGACATCCCTGCACACTAGCAGGGAGCAAAGGACTTCTCTTTTGAAAAAAAAAAAAAATCAGCATGTTAATGTTGCCTGTCCCTCCTTTAGTTTCTGAGACTTCACTCCCCATCCCAATAAAATAACAGAATTATAGTCAAAACTTACCTTCCAAACACAGGTAATATCACTGCTTCCTATATATAACCACTAGCAACAAACTGAAAGAAATTTTTAGGGCCAAATAATTTCTGTATGTTGTCTTGACATCGGAAGTCCACATACACAAGCACACTATTCCAAACTCTTCATTTTTTAGTTAGTTGACCATTTTATTTTGCTTTTGGGTTCATTCTCCCTCTCCTTTCTTTCTTTTTATTTCACCCCACTCCTGAGCATCCTGGATCATGATGCCCACCAGCAGTACCATTCTGTAGGGATGTGTCTTCCTCCTGTTTGCTACTCATTAACAGAACATATAGCCGTGCCTTTTGACTCCTAAGTTTTGGTAGTTTTATTTTTTAAAGTCCTGTTTTGTGAAACACAGAGTCTGTAGTGAAAAGGATTCATCGAAGTCATCATTATTCCACGTTTATCTACAATGAACTATCTCATCTATTATCCTTTAAATGAGCTAAAGCCTCCTATCTGCTGTGTTTCTCTTCAGTGCCTGCTGTTCCTTTCTCATCTGTTTCTTACCAGCATCCTCTTTCTTCTCTTTCATTCTCTGAGCCACATATCAATACTGCTCACCATGATCTAGAGGTTCACAATGAGGAGCCACACAAATTATTTTCTAAGTGTGCTGTGGGTCACAAAACCAGATTTTTTGCTGCAAGTTTGGATACTGTTATTGTTATTCAAACTGAGCCCTGTTCTGCAGTAATCGCCCCAGTTGCTCCCTGACCCTCCAAGTATTTTCTTCAGAAACACTCAGGAAATGTTTCTATAGACTATAAATAATGACTGAGAGAGACTTTTGTATATCCCTGCCTTCATCTTTCACCTCCATATTTACTGCTACACACACTTGACTTTGTGGCGCTTTTTAAATTCATAAGTTGAACAGCATACACACATTAGACTGATATATGTTTCTCTATAGACCTGACATCGTTTTATTAACAGTGGCTGAGTTACCCTTGTCATACATTTATTAGCCTTTTAGAAGATGCCTCTGTGAATGCATAAGCCAGCTGCATTCTTTGTCAGCATTCAGCAAAGTTACTGCTGTGGGAAGCGACTGAGCTAATCAAGTTGAGCATGCTACACGACTTTCTGCTATTTCATTGCAAGGACTGCATGCTGTTTATCAGGTAGCTACTGGCTTTAAGACACCAGAGCTAACCTGCCTCTTGACAACTCTGAATTTCTAGTTCCGGAGTTGCTAGTAGGACGGAAGGAGTTCAGTGCTCCCTTCTACCTACCTCTTTTCTGTACAGCTACGGGTGAAATATATGTATGAAATACAGCCCAATCCACAGAAGGAAAAGCATGAAGAATACGGCACAGGAAAGCCTGTCCTAGAAAAAATAAAAAGAATTTCAATACCTGCAATAGTGGCTTCAGAGTCCATTGTTCCCATTCAGTCATCTACAAGAGACATAAGTATTTTTAATACAGCAAACAGAGACTATGTTGGCTGTTCACACTGCCAAGGAAAGATGAAGCCCAGGCATTATTCCATCTGGATTTGCAGACTGGGAAGCTTGCCCTTTTTTCACCTGCCTTTGTGTTTTTCATTCTCTGTAGTTTTATGACTTCTGAAACCTTCTCAAAACATAACACCAGCTACATCAGGAGAGTCTTAATATCATATAAAACCCATAATGATTGTGATAGAGGAAATTTTCCTGTCCACTGGGAATTAGACAGTGCCTTCCCATGACTCAAGCTGACTCAAATGAAGAATTTTGTGCCCAGTGTGGCAGGAGAGCCTATCCCAATCAGACCTAAAATCCAATCAGAGAATGCATAATATGTAAGCCATCATGCAAGCTATCATTCAAGTTCAACTGCTGGTGCCAGGGTGCTGTCTTGGTGTTGATTATTCTAAACTAGCCTGGTTCACCAGACGTCAAATACACACTCTACTTTTGAAACAGGATTGGAGAGATAAGCTGGTAGCTGGCCTGTAAATTTGTGACTAGCAGTCAATCACTTCATACTGTAAAAGTCCAGTCCCTTTTCATACAGTCAGGTTCTTCTAACAACCCTTCTTGGGGTGTACGTGTGGAGATTCCTCCCTTGGGTGTGGACACCCTCCAAGGATACTCCTCAAGGTTGAGAGAAAGAGATCTCCCCATGAGCATTGGTATGGGTGAGTTACATCAAATCTCTACTTATTATTTCCTTTTTGCTAACTTTAATATAATTGTTTCAATAATTGCTTCAATATAGTGCACTACGCTATCTTATACTATACTACTAGTAGTTTCAGCAGTTATACTGTGTAGCAAATAATTCTGATTAAGATCTTTTGCCTGATCATTTGTAATAAGAAATGACTCATTTTATATAAATATTCTCATTTTGTCAATCATTAAAACCTGCAGTACAAAAGTGGTTCAATCACACCCCTGTAATTCCTTAAATTTAAACCACTGACATAATGCAAGGCTAAGATTGGATTCAGCTGCACTTAGACTCCTCTCTGAGAAGGGGTTTAGAAAGCAAGAGAGTCCTTTCTGCACCTCGTGACTCAACAGCAGGGCTTTTTAAAAAATTTTGTCTAGGCCTTCCACTCCCACCTGCGACATCCAGTCCTACCTTGCACCCAGGTTTCCCAACATTTGCTAGGCAGAGGTGAAACATTCCCATCGGTGTGACCACACAGCGTTGGTCCAAAGGCCCTTTGCTTTGTGATTAGACTCGGTGACTTCAGTCTACGAGATTCCTGAAGTGTATGGAGATAATTTCCTGTGGCAGCAACCTGGTTGATTCCGTGATTCATTATAACTTCCTAGGAAAATTGTCTGGAACTTGTATGGAAATCTGCTTTGCTGTCTGCTTTGGTTTCACGGCTTATAGGAAAGAGGGTCAGCCCAAAGGGCAGAAATGACACAGCCTTACATGCACTGCAGAGCAACTGCAGACAAATGATGCGGATTGCCAGAATCAACAGGCTAATAGACTTTGCTTAAACCATTCTTACCTTAAAGCTCACAAGGGCAAAAGCTGAAGACAAGTTTGAATAGGGGGAGGAAGTTAAGAAAAAAAACCAGATAGCAAATGCGCATCACTAGAAAATCTGTTCTATCAGGTAATTAGGCACATTGGCATCAAAATTTTAATTTATCAGACTAAATCAGCAGACATTGAAATACTGGGATACAAATAAAGGAAATCGAAAAGGAAAATCTCACTGCTTTAACTACCTCGCCCAGGAAAGAGGACTTTGGTGTGGATTCAACTTCATACTCACAAATACCACCTTATTCCTCCTGCTCTATAGTCAAGCCTAGGATAGCTTTGTCCCTCTGCCCCTGTTGCAAATACAGTAGTGATGTTCATGCCTGTACTCCCTGAAATAAAGAGACTGACACCATGTCCTGTTCCTATACAGGAGGGGAAAAAAAAGGAGAAAAAAAACATAAAGGGTTTGGTTTTTTTGCTGTACTTTTACATTCAAAACACTCCCAAGCAGTTGATCCTGACTCCACTTCACCAACAGGTCTAATCTGACATACCTACCATTCAAAAACAATCCGAGATAGATTCTTCCCATGCGTGAACGGGAATTTCAGAGTACCAGAATGTGACGTGACTCGAAACTAGGAGCACAGGAAACTAAAGCACATACATACAGAACTTCAAGTTCTTTCCAACAGACAGGAAGGTTTGAGAGCACTGTCTTTGTCAGCACAACTTTGTCACTTAGAAAGGCGGCAGTTTTGAACACTTCTGATGATTTTTTGAAATGCAGGCAGCCTATGTTGCCATTGACACACAAATGAAACAACACAAATGAAACAACGTGCTGTTTTTCAAAGAATAACCCTTGATAACTGTTGTCATGGGATGTAGCAATCTATTTAATAAAAGACAACGAGTCCAGATTTCAGCTGCCATAGATCCTTGTTGCAAAGTGCTTGATAACAATAGGGCTATGTAGTGGTTTGGACCTTGTTTTCCCCAGAGGCTAAGAGAAGTGGTAGACCCCAAGGGGTGGAAACCCCTGGAAGTTTTGAAGTTCTGCCCAATGGGCACTCCTGCAGAAATGTAAACATATCACAAGCTCACCGGAAGAGATGAGTTGTAGGTTTTGGTTGAGGAGAGGTGGCCATGTTGCAGAGCCACGAGGTAGGGGCTCTGAGCCCCTTGGGGCCTCTGGGCCCCCTCCCAGCCCCGGCTGGGGGGATTGCAGAGACTTGGAACAGTCTTAGACTGAACTAAGTGTCTGTAGTTATGCCGGGAGATGTTTTCTCCATGGGCGCAGAGCAGCAGCCAGTAAGCACCAGAGAAACGGCGGCAGAGAGCCAGGACAGATAAGGACCTGAACCGGAGGAGCAGCAGAAACAACATGCAGCACCAGAGAAAGGACTCCTGGAAGGAGAGTCGGGATAAAAGAGAGCTAGCAGCTGAGAGACAGAGTTCTGGGGGTAAGACTGTACCAGCCCCCAAAACTCCTTTGAGATCCCTCTGAGAAAAGAGGGAGATGGACTCCTATTTAGGAGAAGAGTTTTAGACATGTAGCACCGGAGAGAGAGAGGAGCTAAGAAGCTCAAAAGACGTCCTGGAGCTGGACCGGGATGGCCAGATGGAATGCGGGGGGAGTTGACCTTGGCTCCCCCCTCGCACTGCTGCCACGGTGGCAGCCTGAGAGACAGGGCACAGAGGCCCTGCAAGAGATACCAGACCGTCACGAAGACCCCCCTGTGTCTTCGTGATATGACGTGGTGAAACGACCTTGTCTGGGGTTACGAAGCCCACGGAAGACCCCTTTGCCTGTGTCAAGGGGGCCGAGGGAGCTTGGATACCTCCCTTGTGAGTGCTGGCAGAAAGCCAGCCACAGCTGCTGCATGTGGAGAGGACAGACAGACTGCTGCCTCAGAAGATGCTGCTGCTTAAGGACTGGAAGGGATCTGTCCTTCTTTCCCTCCTGGACTTTTATTTGGAGGGGAGAAGAGATCTGATCCATTGTAAATACATATGTCATGGTAGAGATAGTTGTGATCGTGTGTATAATGTGATATGGTATTTATTTGTACAGTCATTGTAATATATTCCCTTTCCCCCACTTTGAGTCTGGTGTGTTTTTGTCTGGAAAAACCCATCTCACATTAGGTTGAGATGTGGGAGGGGGAATGGAGCTAGGGAATTGGATTTTGGGGCTATCTCAAACCATGACAGGCTATGTTGGCTTGGAGCAGTGCAAGTCTACAAAATCTGCCCCGATAAATTTACAATGTGTCAGAACATCACCATCCTCAATAAGAAGTTGAAATTACCTGGATTAATGGAACAGAACTACATTTTTCCTTTCTCCTTTGGAAATTCATGGGACTGATAAGCAATAAATGGAAATGGGGTACCAAAGCACACCATACGTTATTCTATAAAATCCAAAACAATACAAAAGATAGAGACTTATTCCTTAAAGGGCCTGAGGATTTCTCAGTTGGAGCTGGCTCACAGGGAGAAAGTTGGATGGTTTCAGTATTTTTTTTAAGTATTATTAGTAAGCAAGGGGTACTGGTACATATGAGAGTAAATTAGATTGGAAAAGCTTCTCTGAGCATCTGTTGTCCCACTCTGAAGGCTACAACTACAGGTTGGCATGAGTTTATCTTAAAGGACATGAGCAGTTTATCTGTTTAGTCTGTTTATCTCTGTCTAACTGGGCCTGAAATCAGCCTGGTTCCTCTAAATCTAGCTCTAAAACTCCACTCAGAGAAAAATCCTTTTTATATATAGTGACTCTCACAGTTTCCCAAGCACTTTTAGCCAAAAGAATTTTCTACTACCTTTTTACTATACTTCCATAACTGTCAGTGGATCTACCTCAACATTCCCCACTTGAAGAAACTGCTTACCATGTTATCAACACAAGAAACCTACTATGGAAATGAAAAGAAAAAATGTTTCTTGGTTTCTTCTTTTCCTCTTCGAAACTGTAAGGATCTATTTTTTTCCGACTACGAGAGTGGTCAAATACAGGAACAGTTGTCCCAGAGATCTTTTGGATTCTCCATATGTGTTGCTGCTTGAAACTCAACCAGATACAGCCGTGGGGAAGCTGCTCTAGCTGACCTTTCCAACCTGAACAATTCTGTAGTACTCAGTTAAATAAGTGCAGAGTCTTAAGGCCTTATTTCAGTGGATAAGCAGTGAACCAGGCAGATATCTGTTAGGTACATTCCAGTTTCTGTATCCCTTTTATATCCTAAGTGCACTACTATCTCTCTATGACACACTGCTTTAATATATACATCTGGCAACTCCAGACGAATCATAGCAGGGACTGTAAATGAAACTACAGTTTGTTTTTTAGTAAAGAAAGACTAAAGAAAGCTGGTTTTACTTTGATCTGTCTGCTAAGAGAGAGGTTGAAAAAGACATATATTCACCTTAAGGAGTTAAAACTACTGAGTGTGTCACAGCCCCATGGGGGTGAAGACTCTGAATCTGTAGACTTAACAACATGAACTTCTTGTGCACAGCTAATGCAACTGCACATCAGAGGTAATAAAGACTTGCTGACTTTAGTACCTTTTGTTCATCCAAGAATCCATAAAGAATATTTGAAGCAATATTTTATCTCAGCATTCACCTCTGACTACACTTTCTTGGTTTACCGCAGGAATACCTTTATACGCATTTTTCGTGTTAGACAGTATGTGCATGTTGGCAGGTGAGGGTTCTGTAAGGACAAACCTCTGTGTTCAAAGTTTCTGAGTAACAGTGATATTCAAAATTGTCTTCCCCCCAGTTTTCAGCTACTTTCATAAGCATTAACTAACCATATCATACAGACTTCCATTAACTTAGCAGGAAAGGAAAAAAGTTAGCATAACATACGATCACTCAGAAGATGCCCTTCTCCCACTGATGGTTATTTACCTGTGTGTCCTGATACATTCAGTCACTTCCTACGTCGAGATTTGACTCTGGCAGAATAGAACTGAGCTCTGTCGGGTTTGGTAACTGGGCCTAAGGCTGTAGAAAGCTTACAGAAAAAAAAAATTAAGATGGTAGGATGAGGGATTGGGAAATTACAAACGAACAAAGCCCATTCTTCCATCCAGACATTAAACATTTAAAAACAAACAAACAAAAAACCCCAACCAACAACACATGAAAAAAAAATAAATTAAAAGACACAAAAAGAAGTGGAAAGAAGCAGTAGCATCGGTGGCAAAAACAATTTGTCCAAAAAGTAATACTGCCCATGAGACAGCAATGCACCCCTGTGGCAAAGGCAGCTAACAACATCCTAGGCTGCAATGGGAGTGGTGCCAGCAAGTCGAGGTGGATGATCCTTTCTCTCCACTCAGTGCTGTGAGGCCACACCTGGAGGGTTGGGTCCAGTTGTGGGCTCCCCAGTACAAGACGTGTACACTTTAAGGAGTAATTTCAGCAAAGGACTAGAAATATGAGGAAAGAACTAGAGCACCTCCCATACAAGAAAAGGTTGAGAGAGCTGGGATTGCTCAGCCTGGAAAAGAAGAGAGAACCAGGCTCTTGTCAGTGGTGTTCAGTGACAGGACGAGACAAAAGAGAAAAAAATTAAAAGACATGAAATTCCACTTAAACACACTAATCAACTTTTTACTGTGAATTGTCAAACAGTGGAGCAGGTTGCCCAGAGATGCTGTGGAAACTCCATCCTCAGAGATATTAAAGCCAAAGTAAAAAGAAAAAATTCTGTATGACAATGTACAATATATATAATTATCAACAAAAGCAAACCCAGCTTTAGCTGCATGTATGTAAAAGAATAATCCCACTTGTAAAGAAGTATGAAGAAGGACAAAAAATCCTCATCTATCAGAAAGTGTCCATGATAATTCATCCTCTTAGCTTAACTTTATATTTCACTTCTCCTCCTATGAAATCATTTCAAGGATGAAGCAACTTGACAGAGCTAAACCAACAATTTTACTGAGTATTCTTTCACTGTCTGTATCAATGCGTTAACTGGAGAAGGTTGAGCTAAATGCCTGCAAACTATAGGTGGGGGGGAGGGAGCAGAGAAGCAAAGTAGCATTTTATAATCTGTAATTAATGAGTCACACAGCTTGTTGACAAACATTTTGAACACTGATTGCAGCAATCATCATTCCTCCACCCATCATTTACACCAGCGATAGCGTCACAGCAGCAAGAGTTCTGTGATCCCCCAAAGCCTGAATTCACAGCCTTCCTGATACAGCTTACAATTGCTGGAGACAGAATGTTATAGGTTCGTCTGTTTTAAAGAAAGAAAGAAAAAAAAAAACAAACAAAAAAAACAAGTACCAGCTGGGAATTTTTCTCTATACCACTGTGAAAGAAACGTTTTGAACGAGAGCGGGTGGCCGGAGTGATTCACACACACAAGAGAGCCAGCCCACAGCCCCACATTCCAAGCTAATTGGCTCAGAAGACTGGGAGGGGGAAAGATGAGGTTTTCTCCTGGAGAAACGGCAACTTTTTACTTTACTTTTGCCCAGGACTCAGGGAGAGTGTATGTGGAGAGAAAGAGGCCCAGAGTTTCATCTTTGTTTCCAGCCAAGCCGCCTAGTTGTCTTGGCCCCCGGTTCGCCTGCATTTCCCTCACCCCCTGCCCTGCCCACTGCCCGGTCTGCCTCGGATTTCATCAGAGAAGCCAGTGCCATCTGCGGAGGAACTTCTGAGGGAAAAGACTGCCCCTTCCCTCCTCCATTCCCGTGTCAGCAGCAGCTTGTACCCATCGACAAAGAGGGGGGGAATCCCAGCCAGCGCCAGCCGTCGACAGCGTGAGCCCGTGGGAAGAGCCCCCTTTCCCCTCCCCCCTCCCCTGTCGGTGGGCGGGGTCTCCGTTCGGCTCCTCCCACCACTGGGGGCGCACGTGGCGGCTGCCGGAGCCCAACAGCGCCCCCTGCCGGCCAGCACAGAGCGACTGCAGGTTCTGCTCCTCCGGTGATCCAACGGCGCCCCCTGATGGTCCTGGTTGGAATTGCGCCGAAAGGCGGAAACAACTGGGTTTTGGGTGGGAATTTGGACGCAGGATTGTTGTTTGGTTTCTCCACATTTCCTCGACTGGAGCCTCTTAATTTCAGATTTACAATTGCTTAGAGGGGGAAGCTTGGTCTTCCTCATAACGTGCCCTCCTTAGCAAACACTTTTGTCTCATTAAACTGAGAAACAGAAAAAGACTTCATGACAGGGCAGGAAGAGATACTGAGGCTTCACCTTAAGCATATTAATTGTTTAGTAGGATACCAAGGTTATCCCAAATTATTACAGTGACCTACATTAGAGCTGCTCCTCGTCCTTCGTTGTCAGGCTAGATCTGAAGGGCCTGAGTCAACGTGAAATAAATATTTCTGCTGCTGGCAAGCAGTGCTCAGATCCATACAGAGTAATTTTAGGCTTTATCATTTTCCCTATAATCAGTGTTACTTCTGTTCTTAATTTACACACGGAATCTGAGCCAGGAAGGGAGTCTGATGTACCACCGGTTTAGAAGTAGGCTTGGACTGAAGCAGGAGACAGGCACTCACCCTTCCAGCAGCTTGTTTATAATTGTTTAATACCAAGGAGCTGTTCTCCTCTGGGGCAATGTTTCACTGCTCACACTCCTCCCTGCCACTTTACAGGAAAAGTCTGCTCATGGGGATGTGACAAACATCTGGTTGTTACTATGGGTGTGTACTGTACTAATCATCTAATGACAAATTATGCCATTAATATGTAGTGGTTAGCACTCCCCTACAGAAGCCGCATCATTTCCACAAAGCTCTTCAGGGCCATTTCCCTGCAAGGTGAGAAATCTCATGTGTTTTACAGGAAGCTTAGCACAAATGTTAGCCGTATGTTCTTTAGCACCTGTTTGAAAGACAGCTTATTTTACTAGTTTTTTAAAAAAGGAATCAGATGTTTTGAGAAGACTGTAGGTTTGTTTTACAGAGCACACTTCTTCAAGGTTTCCTGTCATATCGTAGCCCTCTGATGTATGCAATGTTGTAAACAGTTCTCATGGCAATTAAAAATGGTGTTACTTGCCTGGTTAACCACTTATCTCTTATCTGAATTACCCACCTCATGAGGTGAAATTACTGCTTAAGACATGGTGATCTGCTCAAGAATGGCAGCCACTGGGGGTTCAGCACAAAATATTGATGTCTGGGTGCAATGTGACCTAAACTTAATACATGTCAATGTATATCCCCCCTGTTGTTTTTCCCCTCGCCTTTTTTAGTGATTTTACACAGGGATGAAATAGGGAAAAGCAAAGAATTGCAGCAGTATAGAGAAATGGGCTTGAAATAATCCTGTACACATGCCTGTCAACAGCTCTCCATAACACGACAGCGAACAAAGTGACAGACTCAGCCACTGGGAGGGAGAAGTGCTGGTTAAATTCAAATGCACAAAAGCCTGAGCGATTGGATTTCTCACAGGTACTGGTATACTTTAAACCCAAAGTAATACACATGCAAAACTAACAACAACAGCGTTCCCAGCTACCTCAATTTTAATCACAGCTCTCATGATACTTTGTGCCTTCCTTAGGGGTCTATCTCAGTTTTCTTTTTTTTTAAAAAAAAGAGTAGGTTTTTAAACCTCATTGTGGAGGAAAGGGTAAAAATTCAAACTAACCACTTTTTATGAGGTAGATTTTTGGGGAAAAGCAAAAAAGCCACCACATATGTATTGACTTTTAAGCTACTCCTGGAATTTGGGAAAGCCTGAGGTTGGCAGTACCATACTGATATTGAGGCAGTCTGTCTGGTTTCCTTTAATACTCTTTTGGGAGAGGCAAGCAGACCAGGGTTTTCTCTTATATTACGCTATTGAATATACATGCTCGTACTCTCTGCCCAGATGCAATACTTCTCTTGGATAGGTAGCGTTTTTGGCAGTCCAAAATTCCTCCTAAATTGGAAGGAATTATTCTGTTTTATACTACTGCCTTCCTCACCTGCCTTTACTGGAACAAAATCAAGCATAATACCGTTGCACAAATTTATTACAGGAATACCGCACTACACATGCACATTATCTACACTATATAACCTGGCTGTGAAAACCTCATGTCAAAATGCTACCAGCTCTTCCAAAGGATTATATAGCAGGGGGAATAAATAAAGAAGGAGTCCAATACTCAAGCCAAATGATTGGCTGTCTCTACCCTAATACAAATAGGCCAAATGCTGCGGATAAAAAGAAAGAAAAAATAGAAAGAGAGAAAATGAGCCTCAGCCAGCCTACACTCCACTTGGAAACACTGAGCAAGAAGAGTCCCTGTGTGTACACAGACACATCATCACCATCAGCACTCAGCCACAGCCCAGCTTACCAAGTCCAGGGACAGAACAGGTCTCACCAGACAGACAGGCATCCTTGCTTTGAGTGGGCAGGTTGTTTGGATACACTCCTCAAAACCATACAGCAACAGCAAAAAAGAACATACAAAAATAAATCTATTCATGATGTTATGAGTGCCAAATAAGCAAAGAGTCTGCTTCAAAAATCCATGAGATCCATTTTAAATAATTCTGAGGAATTATCTCATCTCTGAGTTCCTACATTGCACCTATGGATGCTTTGCATTTTTGTCTCACTAATATGCACTAGAAAAATATCATTTAAAAAGAAGACTTTGCAAGCTTTTTTTTTGTTTCAGTTTTAATACAGGAAAGAGGCACAGATACTAAAACACATAGTATAATTACGCTATGGGTAAAACTGGATTTGTTTTTCTATCTGTGCATGTGTTACTATCTCTCTAATTAAATAGATCAGAACTCAAAGTGGCCTGTATTTCTGGATTACAGCTATTGGCAGCACTGGAAAACACTAGATACTGCTTTGCTCCAGCTGTGCCTACTCAATTCTAATATCATTCATAGACACACAATGTCACAGCTATGAAAGTGGTACTCTGCAGAGATGCAGCAGTGCCAATGTCACCTCAGCCAACAGCATACAAATCTAAGCCCTTCTGGGAGCATTAATAATGCAAGGTAGGCAGAGTACAAGGCTTGGCACAGCCT